TATATATACTGTATAAGTTTCGACAAATTAGAAGTTTGACATTTGGTAATTAAAATTGATGCTCGTTAATGTTTATTACGGCATATATGAGTGTACCGAGGTGTCATAAACTATTATCAATTGATTACCATTTCTAATAATTATGCACGCACGTTCCATGAAATCAGTCTACGCCAATTGTATCCCTTGTAAATTGATCGTATTTACATTGACTGACTATATAATGACGAATGAACAACGCCTACTTCATAATCTGGGCAAGTATTTCGAAAAACAGGCAAACTTTAGAAGGCAAAGCGAGGTTCTGAAGACTAACCAGACAACTGATTGCTGGCATCGTTGATTTGTCCGCGGCAGTTGTCGGCAGTTGTGAGCAAATGAAATGTTTTTCTTAAAGGTAAATACAATTGATTATTATTATTGTATATATATTTGCTATTAATTGGTGAAAAATTGGTGGATGACATCCTTAACCCCTACACTTTTTCAAAGTACAGCTTAGATGGTAATAATAGGCCCTATGTCATTTTTGGCCACCGTCTAACTTAATTACTTAAACGGCTTGTTTATTTTATATTTTATTTATTTTTTTAAATTTTATTTATTTTTTATTATTTGTTTTTAATGTTTTTTTTCAATATGATTCAAGGCCTGAACACTGTCAGCGCCTTGAAACGATTTTATTTATCAAAATTTTGTTTAAAACAAATGTAATTAGTGCTTTCGAGTATAAGCCTTGATAAATGTATATGACCGAATGTACTCGTTGTCTCTTGTTTTCAAGTACATTTTGAAGCAAATCTTCACCGTCATAAGCATTAATATTCAGTTAATCATTTACACAGTTCTAATCAGTACAAGAGTCCGCAATTGGTAGTTTACGCCGCACGACGTTAACCTTAACGTTAACGGATGACGTAATAATTTATTCATCTTGCGTTGTGGAGTAAATTTCAGGATTTTACGTGCTCGACGTACGTTAGTTACGGGTTTGCGCATGCGTATTTCGATTTGTTTACAGAAAGGGGCGGAGCTATCGCGTTGCATGTTGGGTACTAACGTAAAAGTTAAGGTTAATGTCGCGCGGCGAAAACTACCTAATGACTCAATCTACATGGATCATATCGCGTACAGATTGTTTGTACAGAACTACTGTATAATAACGAAGAAAAATACACTTGACATACTTGACATGTATATCGTTGAAATGTTAAATTTAGAAGGACTAGCATAGTTCTTTAGACAAAACAGGCAACTAATAATTGGCATTATTGTACCCGGTTGTCGGCAAGTGAGCCAGTGAAAATGTGTTTCTTAAAGGTAGTTCACTCTTTTTATTTTATAAATTTGAGGCAATATATGCCAGTAAAAAAACCCTATATTATATATTCGATAGTTATCTTAAAAGTATGGCAGCACAAATTACATTCTCAACAATAAATGCCCCTGGGCCTTTATTCAAATATAAAAAGTAAAAATAATAATAATTATTAATTATTAATAATAATCTAAATATTAAACCAATATAAATGGAATAAAATTCTAGCGAGATTTGAAATAAAAATTAAACGTATACATTCATCCATAGTATCATTCATGTGCTTCTCTCACGAAACTTGTTAATAAAGCTGCTCGTTTATCGATGGAAGCTCGTAATTAATTTTCATGACTTCTACAACTCTAGAGTTTATGTTTACAATATATTAAGTAGTATATACTTTGCGTCATTAGTTAATAATTATCAAAGGCTTGGACACCGGGACATCGTCAATATGCGTACCAAGTTAGAAAATAATAATAATAATAATAATAATAATAATAATAATAATAATAATAATAATAATAATAATAATAATAATAATTATTATTATTATTATTATTATTATTATTATTATTATTATTATAAACCTGATAGAGATTCGATTGTCAAGTAAATACTGAATGAATATATGAATAACCAGTGGCGAAAATTAAAAACAAAATAAGCAAAAATTAAAAAAAAGGAAAATTCTACTGAGATTTTAAGTCTAATTCCAGAGGCGCCATAATCATAAATGTTCAATATTCTTACCTCAGTCCCAACCATGGTGGGGCTGAAGAACATAGACCCTCCATTTTTAAAAGTCCTTCTCTGCCCCCCCCCCACTGGGCTCCGATAGATCAAATAATATCACACTCAACATTTTACTCGTAGTCAACACAAGTCTATCAGGACAACCGCTATGCGAAAATCCTCTCTTGCATGTTGAATGTATATTCGTAAAAATTGACAAGGTAAAATCGACTTTCCTTGAAGCTGACTTTATTAGCAATACTGAAGCTCGAATAGGCGTATTTACTGCGTACGCTGAGAAGGGTAATCGAAGTGGCACTGCTACTATAATAGTTCACCATGCAAAGAGTAAGTTTTCTTATTTTTCATTTTTCCATTATCAATTCACTACGGTAAGTGGCAACAACAACAACAATTACTTTGGGAACGTACTGAGTCTGTCTCTTATACACATCTAGATGTGTATAAGAACACAGCTGCTCCCAGGCCCACAGCTTCTCTCGGCGGCCCTGATAATGTGAAATAGCTGCCTATATAAATATATTAAAGTCATTTGTGTTGGTCATTGATGCTGGGTTGGTGATGCCTCTTTTAGTGTCAATAAGTAAATGATTAGTAAGAATTATCCGTGTTTCTTTCAGGAGTATGGAATCGTAATACTTGTAATACAAACATGTTATGGCCTATGCTGTCCTGTATGTCATACACAAAAAAAATATTCTTTACGAAAACATTTTATACTATTATAATTAAATAAGTTGATTGCTCATTATTTTAATCATACTAATGACCCTGACGTACTGAGGAGAGTTTTATCGAATTCTATTTGTACCTGTAGTGTCATTTTATTTTCAGTATAATATTGAGGACCCACTATTTTTATTTAACTAAAATTTAACTAAATGAGAAGACCTTGTTTGCAAGAGTACAATGTCTTTTTTTTTCATTTTTAATTAATCAAATTAGTTAATAGTAGATCTTAAAGAGGACCGATAAATATTGTTCAACTTTATTATCTTATAGGAATTGTGTTTCTTGATAGCTCTGATTGGACATTCTACAGGTAATAATACACAGTAATACGTTGATCTTCTTGTATGTTCTCTACTTGCGTTAATCCTTTACACAATTCGAATTAGCGCTTCATACTTTAAAGTTCAACATGTGAGTTAACCTTAGATATGAATTTTAAAGTTGAAAATGCAAATCAAACAACAGCCTTTGTACAAATTCTGCTTCGATTAACATTTCTCATTGTAAACAAAATCACTACGTGATATTGTTTGCCTCCATCGTGTGAATATGTTTTTCATGTGCCGGCATTGCCACCTATATAGTAAGACAGTGATTAGTCGATATTGGTTATCCTTGATCATGTGGCTAAAAGAATTAAATGAAAATAAAATATATAATTTGTTGTTTCTAATTCAAGGTTCAATCTTAAATATATAACCATAGTTTGTGTGAATTACATTATATTTAAGTATATATAATAGCTTCCTTGAAGGTTATTTGCATATGTTTTAGGTAATGATGTTGAGCTCAAATTCAATATGGTAGGCTTCACTTCAACTCCTGTTGTTAATGATATTGGGCAAAATGATGTTCGTGGTTACACACTGGGCTCCGATAGATCAAATAATATCACACTCAACATTTTACTCGTAGTCAACACAAGTCTATCAGGACAACCGCTATGCGAAAATCCTCTCTTGCATGTTGAATGTATATTCGTAAAAATTGACAAGGTAAAATCGACTTTCCTTGAAGCTGACTTTATTAGCAATACTGAAGCTCGAATAGGCGTATTTACTGCGTACGCTGAGAAGGGTAATCGAAGTGGCACTGCTACTATAATAGTTCACCATGCAAAGAGTAAGTTTTCTTATTTTTCATTTTTCCATTATCAATTCACTACGGTAAGTGGCAACAACAACAACAATTACTTTGGGAACGTACTGAGTATTCCCTAAGTTAACAGGTCAGGTAGGGCAAAAGATCATCCCTAGAACACAAACAAGAACAACAACCATAATGATAACAACTACCGTAATAATAATAATAATAATAATTATTATTATTATTATTATTATATAATAATAATAACAATAATAATAATGATGATGATGATAATATTAATAATAATAGGCCTAATAATAATAAAAATAATATATTATTATTATTATTCTTATTTTTATTATTATTATTATTATTATTATTATTATTATTATTATTATTATTATTATTATTATTAAGAAGAAGATTAATAATATACCGTATCAGATATCTAGAAAACTATATCATTTTGCGCTATGTATTAACAATTTCGTACCACAGCCCCAAGCATGGTGGGACTGAGGTAGCGTAAATCCCCTATCTGTAAAATTTACTGTCTGCACCCCTCCCTTCCTGTTTCTATCGAAGTCCAAGATTCAAGATGTAATTTAGCAAATCATCTTCTATCCATAATATTTTTGGTGGAATTTGTAAAAATTAAATGGGGATTACCTTACCAAATTTTAAGTCTGACAGTGCCGTATCCGGCGATCTAGAAATGCTATAGACATTGTTGTGCCTCATCCCCAACCATGGTGGGGCTGAGGTGGTTTCTATTCCAGAATTCGCCACTGTTTAATGTTTTATTTTCGTGGCGAATCATCTTCTATAATCTTATTGTTGGGATATGGACAATGACTAATATTTTTTACACATGGGGTCCTTGAAGACTTTGACATGTCAAGAGGGATCCGCGAACGCAAAAAGGCTGGGAACCACTAATATGTGACGGTAATTTTGCGTTTAACCTGCTGCAGCTGGTTTAAACGCTTTAGAAAACGCAAATTGCGTTTATATATAGTTCATTCACACGTCCAATAAAATTCTTGAAATTTTCCTCATATCCACACCTTACTCCGGATCGTCACCATAATTTATTAATTTCTTCATTTGACCATAAAAACTATTCTAGAAAGTTTTCATTTATAAGTTTTTAGAGATATTTAGGTCTGGGACCCTAGCAATTTAAATTACTCTGAATTTCACACCTGACTAGATCGTTACTAAGAATTAGTATTACCTTTCTTGCAACATGGTTGAGGTTTCCAGACAGTTTTATTCAGTTCAGTCGATCAGTTTGTGGGATATTTGTATAAGACGTCTACCGCTAAGTGGTATTCATATTCACACTCTACGTTTAGATACATATCGTTATTGGACGATAAACCATTCTATGAAGTTCTATTTTGATCCATTAAACTTTCCAAAACGTTTAATTCAGATTAGTTAATCAGTTTAAGATGTATCTGATGTAGGATATTTCCGTTTGAATGGTCTTTGCACCCACACTTCTTATCGTCACCAAAATAATAATTTCTTCATTGGACCATGACAAACTATTCCGAAAGTTTCAATTAGATCCATTTATAACTTTTTTGTATTGTTCCCCGAAAATGACAAAAAATCTCGAAAACAACCCACCCATTCCACAGCAACGCACAAACTAGCAACCTGAGCACAGAAACTATTGAATTAAAAAAAGCCAACAAATTTCCCAATCTACTCCCAAAAATATATTTTTTATAATCAATACAGAAATTTAACAGCAATTCTGGGTGAAGTGTATTTACCCTAAAAATAATTGATTTGTAATCCAATATAGGCCTAGGCCTAATTGTAGTGTTGTGTTACCCATTCCACCGTATTTGAAAGTCTGACCATGGTTTTACCCTATCACCATGATATCACAGTTCAAAAGATACTCACCCTATTACTGTGAATTTTACGAAGTGGACATAGGCCACAATCATTATTCAGAATTTGTATTATTCATAAATTTCATAAGATTGTCAGGGGCGGATCCAGAGATGTCCAAAAGGGGTGGCCGAAAGGGTGAGGGGGGGCGGTAGTTGGGCCGAAACAACACCATTCTAGGGGGTACGGGGGCATGCCTCCTCGAAATTTTTGTGTTCTAGACGCCCGAAAATAACATTTCTGGCGTTCTGGACTATCAGTTTTTTCTTTTTCTTTCTTTTTTTCCCTTTTTAAAAAAATCTTTTTTTAACTTCACAAAAAGGGGAAGGGTCTCCCCCTCCCCTAAATTCGCCCCTGATTGTGATTATTTTATTTTATTGATAATCCTGGGATATTTTTTAATCTTGAATACATTTGAATGGTAAAGAATAATGCAATTTAACTCGTTTTTATATATAGTGATGCGTCACTACAATATTTTATTGGGAGGTAGGTGATTCAATAAGTCCATGAATTAATAGGCCTATTTGATAAATTGTTGTATTCTCATGCTTTCGTCCTCAAGCATTTGGAGTAATTTTTCTTTTAAAATGCTCTTTGATAGCTAACATTGTCTATTTAACATCACAATAATTCATTATTAGACCTATAGTTGTTTTTTGAATTGTACTCCACAAATCTCAGCCGATACCTCGCACAACTGGCTAACGTCTCTATCTATTGTCGTGACGTCATGGCTCGCTGGCTCAAACTTGTGATATGTCTCGCACTTGTGATCAAATAACACGCTGGCTTGCACTTTGGCAACACTCTTTGTCAGTGAACTCGCTCCTAGAAAACCCGCCCTTGGAAATTTGCCCCATAAAAAAATGTACACTTCCTAGACCATGCAGTCTTCAAAATAAAAATTGTAACCTTTGGTAATCAACTACACCTTCCACATACATAGAAATTTTTGAAACTATTATTTAAAAAAAAAACCTAAACCATAATTCACCATAGACACTTTTTGACAAAAATGAAAAATTACCGAGAAGTGTTCTAATATAGACAATGGGTCGTGTCTCATATTATTTGTTATAGTTTTATTATTCATTATTTTCACTTGACTTGCATAAATAATTTTGTTCGAAGAACATTTATATGCAGTACTTCGCAGCACTTCACTTGCAATTTGCAATTTCTAGTAATATTATTATAGACTTGCCACAAGTATCTAATTAAATTTATTGATTTTTCGTAGTATTAGCACATTTCGGAAAGCGCCACCAGCGTCAGTTTATGTTGAGAAACTTTTTTGATGCGCGCTAATCCCAGAAAAAGTACACTATGGAACGCAATACAAATAAGTAATATAGAACGCCATTGGTGCCAAAATCGATTTATTCTTAAACATTTTAACTGATTTAGACAAATATTAGGGACTAGAACCCAGTCTATATTATCTAAAGAAAGTCCTGAAAAGAAGTCATGTTACTTTATGGGCTTCTTTTTGAGATGGGTTTTTCCGAGATTACTTTTAAAGAGGGTGTTTCTTCTCGATATGGGCTTCTTCTTGTGGTTAAGCCTAGTTTTTAGCTAGTATTTGAAAGCCCACTTAACAAAAACTGATTTTTGTTTTCAAAGCCCCTGTAATACCAATTGTTCGCACCAAGACTGTCAGTGTATGTGATAGTAACGTTACATTGAGCGTAAATCAATCTAGTGGAAATATTGAAAGCTTACGATGGGCGAAGAATGGAGATTATAACGAAGAATGGGATGGGCTGACGGAGATCTTTTTCAAAAATATTACACTGAATGATTCTGGGATTTACGAATGTTATATAAATGGCAGCCGGAATGAAGGAAAATACGCATTCATGCAGATGATAGTAAGAGGTACGGTAGGTAAATGGTAAATTGAACTTCGACACATTCATTTATTTGTAAATATAGTTTATACTGATTAAAAGTAGTCATATCTACGTAGACAATGAACATTCAAGCAAAGCTGCGCCCCTTGCATATTGTTACTATGGTGCAACAAAACCACAGGAAGAATGAGCGCGTATGTTATTTATCTGGATCCTGCTAACCGTTAGCTGCCGTGTGTGAGCATAGCCAGTGTTAAAACGTACCAAAAACGTTCGTTTGTGGGATAACAACACGTGACACACGCGTATTCCTGGCCCTGCTCTGATTGGTCAGTAGTTATGTTTAGCTCTCTAGAAAGGTCCCGTGTAAAATAATGTGCAAGAGTAGATAGATGAGATGATGGATGAGAGTAGAAATGATGAAAGGAGGGACAGAGGGAGAGAGGAAATAAATAATTAATAAAATGAGCTAATGTTTGGATAAATGGATGGACGGAAGAAAGAAAAAAAAAGCATTGTAAATTGTTTGTATCTTCCTCTGTCTGAAATTCCACAAAACAATGACTTTTGTTAGTTCAAAGAAATTCATTTAGTATCTTATAGAATACTTCATTTTTTTCTTTTGAAAATATAATAGTATTTTTATGATATGATTATTTATAGATAATTATTAACATTGTGAGGTGTTAATTTCATTCAGCGGCGTAGTAATTGGCAATGCAGTCAGTGAAAAGCACTTTGAAAAGTGCACACTCTGAAAACGCGAATCGGTATCTTAATTATCATTTTTATTCTTTAAATTCAAAATTCGGCTAGTGGAAAATATCGGAGCATCTGCTACCCCACAAATTAGTAGTTACTATGCCTACGAGGCTTAACATGAAAGGGCCCGGTAAATAATTTTGCACTTGCGACCGTTCTCATCTAGCTACGCCACTAATTTCATTTATTTACACTTCATTTTAGATTTAACATTGTATTTAGCAGGGTTGGCTTGTGTTTCAGAATGTCCACATAACAAATGGTCTCCGCCGAATTGTATTATGGAGTGTGACGTTTGCTACAATGGAGGAGTGTGCGATACATACATCGGAACCTGCATATGTCCTTCAGGATTTATTGGAAATAGATGCGAAATACGTGAGTAGGCCTATTATACAAATACAACATTATAAGTCAATGTTTATTATCTATTCTTGTAGTGATTTCTACTTAAAATAACTTAGGACTTAAATTACTTAGGATTCTATCAAAGCAATTAGACAAAACCTTTAGAAAAGTATACAAACCACATGTATTATAGAAGTCAAAATAAAATGTAAATACTTGTCTAATAATCGAGTATTTATAATATTGAATTGATTAGCGGGTTGAGTACGCACAACGTAACTCTCGCATGTGTGGTGGCAGAATTTAGAAAAGAAAATATGATTAGATTGCAGGACCTAAAACTTCAATTGAAATTTGGAACGACAAAAAACTTCATAAATTATTATACGTGTTTAATGCAATATATATACTGTCTCTGTGTATAAGAGACAGCTGTCTGCAACGTACAACCTTAATATCGACGTGATTCGGAAGATACGCGGTCGCCGATGGTGTTCTGGTGGTGGAAAAAGTCTTTTCGGATAAGAACTATAAACCTATAGGCCCAGTGTACACAATTTGGCTCATGCACTATTTGGCTTAGTACGCCTTTCGAGACGAGTAGGGGGTTACCTCGGTATACTGGTCCATTCAGTCCCTGTTGTAGACGAGAGGAGTTGGTACTGATTTACCGGGTACTTCAGATACGAAGAGACCCTTAGAGGAGAAGCAAGCGATTGTAAACGCTAGTCCATACTTCAATTAGTTTGATCTGCACCGTGAATGTCTAGGCCCTATTTTCTTTTTCAGCTGCTGGTGGTAATCGTTTTGGACGTGATGGTAACGTTAACTGCATCGGTCAAAATGATAACGGATGCAGAGGGTATCTGATTTGTCCACCTATGCCACAAGGTTGTGCCTGTCACGCTGGCTGGAAAGAACTCGACTGTAATACGGGTACACTTATTATATTGGAAGTTGTCATTGCGATAATATTTTGTATAATCTTTCTTGAAAAATATTTATTAGAATAATAATAGGCCTAACAATAATAGGCCTAATAATATGCCTAATAATAATAATAATAATAATAATAATAATAATAATAATAATAATAATAATAATAATAATAATACTGTATAAACCACATTAATAATTTAATAATGTAAATTATTATAGCAATAAAATTACAGTAATAATAGGCCTAATAATAATAAGCCTATACTAATACAATGCCTAATACTAATAATAATATGCGTAATACTAATAAGCATGTTAATAATCCTCATAACATGGCTAATAATACTTATCTGCCATTAACAAGCTTAATAATATGTAATTCATAAACAAATACCCATTTAGCAATATATTGAAAAATATTTATAATAATTATTAATATCATTATGTTTTGTTATTTTAAGAATGTGAACCTGGCAAGTATGGCGCTGACTGTCTACAATATTGTCATTGTGACGCTGATCAGTGTGATCCTTCCAGAGGCTGTCATATGAACGCAACATGCCACTCTGGTTACAATGGTACAAGATGTTTAGGTAAAGAACATTAAAATCTTTGAAATAATAAGTTTTGGACCATTTAAAGGGGGGGTTTAGCAATACCCGGGGTGCGGGGATGAAACGATTAATATTTAATATAAAATAGAGGGATGGGCCACGACAATGACGTTACTCGATTTAGGAGCGCGGTATTCGAAAACGAGGCTCGTGAACTGGGTCCCCCCCAAAAAAATCCCCCCCAAAAAACTGGTGCTACAGGATTTTGAGCTTGTGTTAAAAGATAGGGAATTTCCTAAAATGGGCCGACTTTCAATGGCTTGCATTCGGTAGCCCCATAAAAAATCGTTCATTTATAAGAAGTACATATATTCTCCGCCGCCAGCAACCTTGCCATTGGAGCTGTGGCTTATTTGCGACAAGTAAACGAGCACAACCAACCCTACGTCTCTTTTTTGCTGGCCAAGGCGAAGGTTACGCCAACACATGCTGTATCGATACCACGACTGGATCTGTGTGCAGCAGTACTAGCTACCACCCTTGCACAGACAATTTCACTCCGAACTTGGCAGCCGAATAAGATTAGATTGTACCACATTTTACACAGACAGTAAAGTGGTGCTAGGATACATAACCAACGAGTCCAAACGATTTCACACTTACGTCGCAAATCGAGTACACAAAATACCCACCTTGTCAAAACCACATCAGTGGCACCACGTACCTACAGACCAGAATCCTGCCGACATAGCTTCACATTCTGTGCCAGCTCCTAGTCATCTCAATGCTACAATTTGGTTCAAAGGACCAACGTTTCTTTGGCAGAACTACTCTTCAGAATCCCTAGAAAAACCTCACCCGAACCCGCAGTATCTACTTGGTGAAAGTGATCGAGAATTACGTAAGCAAGCCAACGTAAATGCCACAAGCTTATCAGCTACTAACATAACGAAGTCTAATTTATATTAGGCTGCGAACGTTTTTCACGCTTCTCTACATGGATATCACTCAGAAGAGCTATTGCAATATTAATTGTCAAAGTACAGTCCTTCAAGTCAGTAAAACATACCCCAAACCCTAAATCGGTGGGCATTGAAGAACCTCGACGTGCTGAAATATCCATTATCACCACAATACCTCAGACCAATCTCAGAGCTTGTGCTTATAGAAAAGGCACCTACGTCTAATTCTTGGATATCTGCTAAATTTCAGCAGTTACGATAATTACAGATGTTGTTTTCTCGGTTTTTGACACTTTCAAATTAAATTAGAAATAATTTAAATATTTATAATAATTTAAATTATTTAATTTAATGAATTTTAGTTTTAATTATTCCCATCGAACCCAGTACAATATATATACAATATAATATTTTTCTACGCTAAATTTTCAGTTACATCTTCCAGCAAACAATCGAATAATACGACGTCCTTTATGGAAACCACTACTGTGCCTTCTACACATACGACGTCTGGTGTAAAAACAACTAATGGTAACGTACTAAGTGTCAAATTAACATGGACATATAATTAATATTATAGCTCCATGATAGTTTGTATAAGCATGGAGGAATATGTTTAGATTAAACTCCATGGTTTAATTGTGTCTGTCAATCGCGAACCCTGTCGGTGAATATGATGAAGAATGGTTTAGGGTCAGTTTGTTATACATACATTATGCACTAATCCCTTCTTTTACAGCACTACTGAGGTTGTAATGGATTTTTTTAATTGGCAAAGTAGTTTTCGGAGATTTTTCAGATTTCAAACGACGAGAATTATTTTGAAAAGACATCCTCAGTCATCCACTGGACCACTGGTTGTGGACGCAGCCTTCCAAGCTGGCTCTCCGTTTTGGCAAATTGTTTCTGGACAACATGTCAAATGGATTCATTCTTGGTGATGAATAGACGAACTGAAATAATTTGGCAGGAATAACCATGTGAAAATACCGTAAGTAATGATATTAGAAAATTATTCATGATTGCGTTTAATAATTTATTAAGAAGTTTGTCTATACAGACTATAATTATCAATACATATTTTCAAACCAGAAACAAAATAACTCAATCGGAATTTGAACTTAGATATTGTTTTAATTTAATGTGATGAGACTTGCCATTTCATTTGCTTGTTTACTGATGATTTTTTTTCAGCTTCCATGTTGCTTTTTAATTTCTAATTTTATTCGCAAGCCGCACTCTTACTACTGTACAGTTTTTTCTTCTCTAATTTGCATTCTACGTCATAAGTTTTTTAATCATTTGTGAGAATTATACCCACCTTCTATGTCATAAATTGATATGTCTTCAATTTATTTCTTCATCTATAGGTAGTGTACCCAGTAAAAAGATCGTACAGGAATGGATTGAAACTACAAATATTGGCGTATTTTATCCATCACGATGCTTGTCATAAAATATATCCATTAATAGCGAATTCTGCGTGCATTTCAATACTTAGAATATGTATTATACTTTCTCATATACGTATTGTATCATACCATGGCTTACAAAGTTTGATAAATCAGTGGTAAGCTAGGTAAATTTTATTAATATTATAAATAGAACTGCACTTATTGTATAAATCTATAATGCATCTTTCAAACAACCTAAGACTACCGATATGCAGTTTAAACTCTAGATGTCTAAATAATTCTATGTATTTTTATTCTACAAATACAAACCTTGTTGTTACTATATTTTATTTAATCCAGACATAAGTTTGATTAACAATAAATGTGAACATTAACAATTACTTATCAGCATACATAGATTAATTGTATAATTAATATAATCATCTTATAATTATTCTGTTGAAAGATATTTTAATAATCAATCAATCTTGCAATAAATCAATAAATCAATTCATTAATCAATTAATCAAGTAAACAATTATTCAAGCAATAATGTGTAGATATAGAAATATAGTGAAATCATACAAATAATACACAAACAACTAATGAAAATATTAACCCAATAATGAGAATTAATAATAATAATATTAATAATAATAATAATAATAATTATTATTATTATTATTAGGCCTATTATCAATATTACTATTATTTCCATTATTATTACTATTATAGTAGACTATTACCGTAAAACTTCTTAAATAAACCCAGTTGTCTATTAGTAATAGGAACCCAGGCTCTAATAATAGTAACCAACCTTTTAAGTTACTGTATACTAAAAACTTAATACTCTAATATTAATCCAACTGGGTTACACATTACAATGCTAAAACTTCATACACAGTCCTGTATAATAATCAACAATCTTATGCATGGGTTATTGTTATTTTTCGACTCTAGTTATAGTATTTTAGTACTTTATTAGTAACTCTTAATAAATGTAACCGACGATAAAAAACCAAATAAAAGAATAGTTACACATTGTTTATATCAGAAGACGCTTTTTAAACCAGAAAAATATAAAACCAAAATATTAATTAAGTATATTAATATCAATAGTATCTAAAAGTATACTAATATGCAAAATGATGTTATATCATGTAATTTATGAATTTATTTTTAAATCATATATACCCAGTGTTAGGTTTTAAATGGTTCTTTTGCGTTATATAAAACAAGTAGATTAATTAATATAATCAAATTTGTAGATTATTAAGTATCATACAGTTATTAGTTTATAATCGGTCGGCGTTGTTTATAATATTTACAATAATGGTATTTTGCTTTTAGTCGGTAGCAGTATGATATTATTACAGAGTTCATAATTTTAATTGTAATCACAAATTATAATTAAAAATAATTCTGTTTAATTTGTTATGATCTGTAATCGACAGCCTGGCTTTTATTTAGAATTAGTGACTTCTTTCGTTATTTTTCATATGATACTGTGATGGTGGAGATCCTGCACATATTTTGATGAGTATTGAAGTAGAGAAGTCTATAAAAGTATAATTGCAATCAAAATAATTATGTTCAATTTTTATAGTTTATAATTAGCTGGCCTTATTTATATTCAAAATAAAGAAGTTTTTCTTCAAGTTTTTAGTATTAAGATATTATGTTTATAATGCTAACATTAAGTTTATAATGTTAATAATACTCATAAAAATTGGTAAAGGCCTAATGTTTTATAGTATAGTTTACAATCCACCTGCCTTGTATATATTTTGAATAATGATTTTTTTTTTCAATTTTAAGTTGCTATGATAGAGTTTAAAATGATACATGTAAAGCAAAGAGAGGGGGGAGAGACAGAGGGAGAGATAATGATTTTTTATAATACTTTTATGTATTATACATAATAAACCTATTCATTTTTTTATTTTAAAATTCCAATAACAATCATATTATTACTTATAAAAATTATTACAGCAATGCTTTCTTCAAACACGACTGTTTTACAGTACACTGTTCATTTTTGTTTATTTTGTAAGATAATTTTAGACTTGATCATGATAATGAAATCACTAATTAACTAAGATATCTATAATAAAAGAGATATCTCTATTTAAAAATATAAGATCTCTACTTAAACCTAAGATACCTCTATTCAATAACTAAGATATCTCTAATTACCACTAAGATATCTCTATTAAAAGAGATATCTTAGTTTTAAAACTAAGATAGCTCTATTTAATACTAAAGGCTTAAATAAATGGAATGACCTGTTCAAAGCACGAACTCCTGTAGAACCCAGTACCATTACGATTTTAATATATATATATATATATATATATTTATATATATATATATGTTTATATATAAATGTATATGTTTATATGTAGTGTATATATACATATATATATATATATATTTAAAATAAAAAAAACAATATATATATAATATAATAATAATAATATAGACAAAATAAAAATAGTAATACCTGTATAATAATATTACTGTATTATATTAATGCTTTCCTTTTGATTGAAGCATGCATCAAAATACATGGCGAGTTAAAATGTATTATACAATTTTTCTGACATTTTGCTCTTTCCCAAATTTTATGGAATTACAGAACAGGCTTACATTATCATTATTTACTTCTTTATCATAGAAATATTCTTTACAAAGTTTAATTTACATATTTTGAATTTATGTTTAACCAATCCCTATAATAATAGACAGCTCCAATATTTTATTTATATTATACATTCTAGGCGTAATGTTCTAACAACCATTGTAACTTGGGAGTACCAAGTAGTCAAATCACTAAATGGAAGGTTGTCCTTATTAAAGTTGATAAATAGTAATATAATAATATTTTTATATCAATGTTTTTTTATGATAAAAAAAATGCGTCAATACACATGGCCAATTAAAAATGTATTGAATAATTTTTCTGACATATGTTGCTCTTTTTTACATTTTATGGAATTATTTTAAATAATATTTATGTAGTATTTTGTAATATATATCTAAAAATTCCTGTAAATACTTGATGGTAATTATTACTCGAGGCTATCGTTCAAATTGTAGCACATGATATCAGGAATACTCGGTAATCAAGCTCTACACAGTGCTCCCTACTGTTGTCTTTTAATTTTTGGATTTTAAGTAATACATTCGCAATATTAACTAGTATCAACGATTATAATATATTATGTTGCTTTCATAGGCGTTAAAGTTAACTAGTACTGTGTTTCTATAGAGTACTACAGTGTTACGTCACGATACCACGTGATACTACTCCGTTGCTATCGTTGCAAAATGAGTTCAGCCCGACGCCATTTCCGCCACTAGCAAACCATTGATCCCAATTACTCAAGTAATTATTAAGATGTTGTGTCTTACTTTTTCTTTGTAAATTTTAATTGATGATTAAATGTGTGTTCGATAACTAATAAAATGCGGGCTTTTGTGTTTTTAGTAAATTTTGAGTGTAAAATATTAGATTTTAAAATGCCTATTTCAGAAAGCCTATGTAGTCATTCAGGTGTAATGAACGGTAACCTACGTCTGTTGACAACAGAGAGCGCCATCTGGCATCGTGACGACACGACTGTGGTCTATAATTTACGTAGTAAACCAGTATAAATTTGATTAATGTCCATGAATTTTTGTAAATAAATTATTTATCTTAAAAATATCAAATTTTATGGTACATTGGATATAATGACAATGCATTTATTCATATATTCTTATCAGCCATGTTTAATCATTCCAAGTTCAATCTAATCGAATTGGACTGGAGTAAAAAAAATGTTTATATAGATGTTTATATAATGTTTATTATATAGATTTAAAGAGTTTTTTCTATTTGAACTGCGATCGTCTGATCGTTATTACCACAAAATGCGTAAGATTATTACTAAAATTCCACACTTCGTTTCTGTACTTCAACTCGTATAAACAATACTTAGCGTACTCACGCGAATAAGCGCCCCTCTCGAATAACCGCCCCTCCTAACGTGAAAATTTCCTTAAGCGCCCCTTCTAATAAGATTTTCTTTTTAGCAAGTCAATAATCCAATCAATCCTGGGACTGTGGTTGTTGGCATGATTTGAGCTGCAGAGTGGAAACACATTCTTCTTCAGTAAATATCAAAATAAGGATATTTCTCTTGGACAGATGAGAGCTCCGATCATTGTATATTTCCAACTTTCATCTTTTTACATATTTGTCTATGTCTAGTCCTACTCCTCTTTTTCTTTTTTCGACCTTAAGCACATTCTCATCTGAGTTTTCAAGAAAAATACAATGATCCTGCCATCCTGCTAATCTCAATCGGCCGATGGCCAACAAGCTAACCACTACCCATCACTAATTGCATCTGCTATTTTGCTGTTATGTAAATATTCACGCATTCTTGTTATGAGCCATATTCTCTGGACGATTATCTTTTCTAACCAACATTCGTAATGTCCTTATATAATCTTTTTTTCATTCAAAAAGTGCCTCTTGAATTTTTAATTAAAATAATTTCCCATAAGAACCCCTCGATTTTCATCTACTTCCATAAGCACCCTTTCCACTCTGTTTTCATAAGCGCCCCTCAGAAAGTGCAAAAAAATATTTTAAGCGCCCGGGCGCTTATTCGCGCGAGTACGGTACCTTATAGGTATAGGCAGGGGGAAATGAGATGTAATGTATGTACGTTTTATTTTTACTTTCGTTCTTTCCACACTATCAAACCCTATGTGTATGATAATATGACATCATCATCATGCCCATATTATATAAATGTGAGGACGACAATACCTTGCCTATATGGTCAGTTCACAAAAGTTTAACCATAAAATAATAGTATGTGTATAACATTGTTATAAAGATTTGTTACTTCTTTAATGTTTTCAATAACGTCAATCATCTAGTTGGGATTCATGCATACTGGAGGACCCGGGTTTACTGAATCAAAGTATTCGCTCTAAACTATTACGATATTTGGTTAGGGGTTTCTTTAACCGATGTTGTAAAGAGTAGGCTATTTACAGTATGTACTGTTGAAGAGTTACGCCTATCATACATTCGCCAAGTATCGAAATATAACCCAGTAGGCTTATTATATAAATTTAAAGAGTATTTTGTGTTTTGGGTGATAAACTAAATTTTCATTAAGAAATAATTAAATTTAGTACTGTACTGTACTCTTCTAAGCTACTACATCCCTGAAAATGAACTAATTATTATTATTATTATTAATATTATTATTATTATTATTATTATTTTATTTAGCCATCAATTGAAAATGATATCTGGCCATCTCATAGGTGCAATGTCTATTCAATGTTGTGTCTTCTCACCCTATTTACATACCATACCATACTTTACCTATTTAAGTTAAGACTATCTCTTTTTAGACGATATTTAAATGTGTGCATCCAATAGTTGTCCCGCCGTAATTGCATTAATACAAACAAACGGTTACTAGTTACAACAAAATATTTCCCCCCCTCCCCACCAAACTTTTGATTCCTTCTTGGTAACAGACTTCCATTAATTTTGTTTTAATACCCTGTGATTCTTCTAGCTTTTCGTTTTCTTTACGTTTCTTTTCATTTCTTTTCTTTCTTATCTTATTCCTTTCTTTTCGTTTCCTTTTCTTTTCCTTTCGTTTTTTTTAATCTTTCTTTCATTTTCCTTTTATATTCTTTCTTTTCCTTTCTTTTCGTTTCCTTTATATTCTTTTCTTTCTTTTCATTTCTTTCTTTTCTTTTCTTTCCTTTTCGTTTTCTTTCTATTCATTCCTTACCATTTTTTATCTTTCTTCTCCTTTTCCTTTTCCCCCTCTTCCCTTTCTTTTCATTTTATTCATGTCCTTCTTTCTTTTGTTTAACTTTCATTTTCTTTCTTTTCGATTCACTGATCTTTTCCTTTCCATCCTTTCTTTCTTTTTCTTTCCTTCTTTTCTTTTATTCTTTTTTTTTTCTTACATTTCTTAGCTTTTCGTTTTCATTCTATTTTTATTTTCCTTCTTTCTTTTCATCTTATTTCATTGTTTTACATTCTTGGCTTTTCCTTCTACGGTTGTACTTTCTTTTATAGCCATAGCTTTCATTAGAATGCAAGTATGTGGCGGAATCAAAATAAAATAAATGCACACAGTCAAACACATGTCTTAGGAGAGTAAATAAATAGAAGAATAAAGTTCGAAATATTGAATCACAATAGCTTGTATAACTTTTTCGGAGCTCTCATTCATTCATGTATCAAAAATATATATAGGCCTAAGTTAAGGTTATGATATTTACTTTCCAATTGCTTAATCTTTAAAAATCTACATTCACCTACTTTAACACATTTACTGTATGTTCTTGGAAGCATCATAATTATATAAGCTTGCTCTCTAATCCTTATAATACATTTCGAAATATTTGACATAAATTACTGCAGCACCAACACTTTTGAATCTGCTTCCTACCCACATTAAACATTGTTTTTCTGTTGCTTCATTAAATACTAAAAATCTATTCCTTCCACCATTAAACTACCGCCACTGAGTTGCCCCTCGTTCGCTATAAATTTCCATCATTACTACATTAGGAACAAAACAATTATAAAAGTCATCTCAGTCATTTATTAAGCTTTGATAATAATCTTCAGATTGCAAAATGTACAATAAAAAATTAGTTGTTCTTAATATAATAACATAACATTAACTTTGTTTTACCCAAATTAATATCATGTTCATTAAAAATGTTTTTTATAAAGTATCAAGAAGCATAACAAATGATTTGCTTACAAAAATATGAATATATATATACAGTTCGTAATAATTATGAATAGGCCTAATGATTATGATAAAAATTTTAAAAATGACAATTTCATTGATAACAATTGACTAATATTGAAATAAATAAAAAATTAATAATAATGGCATTTATTGTTATCGAAATAAACAATAATTAAATTATATAAAAATAATATAAATATTTAAAATATATGTATTAAAATTCACAAATTTTAGACACTTATAAACATATGTTATTAACAGTTAAAAGTAAAATTTATATTCCTACATAAACAACTAAAGCATACTTGCAAATTAACATACATAATTTGTTCATCATTAAAAAGGTATTAAATTAAAATCAATATATAAAGTTAACGACATAATTGAACAATAACAGTGATAGTGAAATGTGAGAACAAGATAGTTATATTTTACATTAATGGTTATAAACTCAGGCCGGGACTTAATAACCATTTTTAAATTAAACTCATTAAAAGACTCAATATTAAATTCGATTGAATTTAAGCCTATTTAAAATAAAATTACACCTACAAACATTATAAGCCTAGTGCTTATAACTCACCAAATTAATATCCAAGAAATTTGTTCCAATTTCTGATGTTTACACATCAGAACTAACCACACCACCCTACGTTAATATAAAATTATTGAATCAGACGAAAGTACAATGCCGTCAATGCAGTTTAGAATACAGTTAAGATGTACAATATGTTAATTACAAAGTACCTAAAAGATCATCGTTTTCATCAACTTTAAATGTTGTGAGTGATTTTCCAGTGGATGTGTTCTCTTCTTCTAGCATACCATAGCCAAATTCATCTTCCATGTTTTTATCTATTAGAAAACACAAAGTTTATATAAAACTGTCAGTTAAAATTATTCATAATAAAGTAAATAAAATAATTAACTGAATTGCTAACTTGATATAAATTTTGACTAAAATTCTAAGATTGAGCCAATCCCATCCTCCTTAATAAATCTATATTCACATAATACGTTTGTGTCTATGCGGAAAGTAGTTAAAGCACAGAAACAGAGAAAGAAATCAATACTTATAAAGGAAAAAAATAAGCAAAACAGACACAAACAAAAAAACGGTAGTAGATAGTTCGAAGATATTAAAATGGAACGGGAAATGTGAGGTAAGTATATTTGTTTAATCTCCCACAGATGAAGATTTGTGTTCAAGGCATTTCACTCCACCGGAGCAGCAACTGAATAAGATCTTTCACCATATTTTTTCTATTTATCTATTCCAATCCAACAACAGACTGGTATACAAATCTAAGTTAAAACACAAACATCATCATAATGACGACGACAATGACGATGACATCGACGACGATGACGACGACGACGATGATGATGATGATGATAATATGCGTACTTAAAGGGAATATCTTTTGTATTATTTTCCCCTTAACGTCATGTTATTTTCCCCATAACGTCGTTTTCAACAACAATTACGACTACGATGACGGCGACGACGACGACAACAACAACAACAACAACAACAACAACAACAACACTCTGTAGAGAGCATATCTCCGCCCACCGCCAATATCTTTCTATAAAAAATTCCTCAAAAATATGTTCCTACTTTTCAATCCCCAACCACAATCTACTAAATTACACTAAAACGGAAGTTTAATCTAGATGAGTTTAGTCTTTGAGATATCTGATCTGCGACATTTTGCTTTCATAATCGACACTAAAATGTAATCACTTAAGTTTTTGGACGCCAGTTATTGTATCAGTTGTACACCTGCCAACTAACCGGCAAGTTTTACTCTTATAGGTGACAAACAAAATACATGCAATGTATCGGTGTGGAAATGGAAAAAGTTTGGAAATAGAAATATGAGGATTTCGTTTTTAGCGTAACTTGTTTAAATGTAAAGATGAATTAAAAATATTCCCAATAAGTTCCGAAAAAGTGAAGTTAGTAGATTTAAACCACTGTACACCTTTACTGTAATTACACACTAATTTAAATATTCATCATTTAACTATTGTTTCTGCCTACAGTAATACGGTAACTTATTCTTTAAATGGTCCTCATATCCACACCCTACTTCGGATCGTGACCAAAATTGACACACTTCTTTATTAATCCATGAAACACTATTCTGCCAATTGTCATTTTTATCCATTGATTCATTTTTGAGATATTTAAGTCACACCTGAATTGGATCGTCACCAACACTTCATAATTTCTTCCTTGTACCTTGGTTGAGCTTTCACGAAAGTTTCATTCATATATCAGTTGATTAGTTTTTAAAAAATATCTGGTCTGGGACGTTTTCATTTAAATAGTCCTCATGTCCACACTACTCCGGATGGTCACCAAAATTTAAACATTTCTTCATTGATCACTTTTAGAGATATTTAGGTCTGGGACCTTCGGATTTTAAATGACCCTCAAATGCACACCCAAATTTGGATCGTCACAAACACTTAATCCTTTCATCCTTGTAAGTTGCTTAAACTTTCTCAAAAGTTTCATACAGATAGGTCGATTATTTTTTAAAATATCTGGTCTGATACCTTTTCCTTTAAATGGTTCTTATATCCACACCCTATTCCGGGTCACCAAAATGTAATACCTCATCCTTGGGTCATACCCAACATTCCCTGTATCTTCCATTTAAGATCTGTGCAGATCTGTGCACGACCTTAACCATTTAAATGACCCTCGAGTTCACCCCCGAATTTGGATCGTGAACAACACTTGACAATTTCTTTCTTTGTAACTACGTTAAACTTTCACGAAAGTTTCATTTATATCAGTTGATTAGTTTTTGAGATATCTTGTTTTTAATCATTTCTTCATTAGGTTATATCTAGTACTGCCTGCAATTTAATAAACAAAAAAGCCACACGAAAACACACACACACAAACTTACACGACTAAAAACATAATCTCCTGGAGGATATAATAATAAACAAACATTAAACAAATATCAAAATGCTTATACGTTGATAGGTGAGGTGTCCAAAATGTTGAGAAACTGAAATATGAATACAGCCTATCGCAACTTTACTAAAGGGGACAAGAAAGCAAATTATGGGAAATAACTTACAAAATTGAAGATCACATCTAAAAGACGAATTAACACAAAGAAACAGTTATGAAGATTAGTAATATGAAGACACCAAACGTGAAGTAAATAACAGCACCATGAGAATAGTTGCATGCTTGAAGGGCCTAGAGATCTCCAAGGGCCATGGGCACACACTGAGGCTACCAAGAAGGGTTTCACAAGTTCTCTATGCACACATTGTAAATTACCGATTCTAACTGAGATATGATGCTGTTTGTACGACTCCTAAAGGCCAACTCAGACAGCATCGGCCGACGCAGCCCGACCCGATTTATCGTCGGGGACAGTCTTAAGCCGTCGTGAGAAATATTTAACATGTTTAATATTCCACGACGCGACTGCCCCCGACGCACACCATCGCGTCTGCGTTTAACTCACACAGACCCGACGCGACAACAAATCGCGTCGGGCTGCGTTGTACGACGCTGTCTGAGTTGGCCTTAACACTTGTAGTTACTGTGTTACCTGAGGTTTCCCTAACAATTTATTAACGACGAATACAATTAAAATATTAAACTCACCATTGTCAGCATCATATGTCTTATTCTCAAAACATAGCGTCTGCATTTCCCCTAGTTCCTGAAACATGTTGCTAACAGGTTGTGTGTTTTCACTGAGACGCTTCGGTTTAAATGTGCCCTTTCTTCTGCAAGAACCAAAACTCAAAAATTATGATACAACGTTTATAGTAATCTACAGCTAATTTACTATTTGATGATTAATGCAAACACATAAACAAATAATAAATGTAAAAATTACTTACTGCTTAGGAAAAAAAAACATCCAAGTGTTTTTAAAATATGTGCATTTTCCTGGCATTGCATTTACAATAACACCAATATTAAAAACAATTTAACTACTGTACTATTAATTTTGATGTTTTTGGTATTGTAATATTAAAACCCCATTCCCGGCAACATTTCAGTTGTAAAGAAAAATCTGATTTTTATACAGTCAGTTAGTTCTTTATTTATTTGTTTCACACTCTCAAATTAAAACAGAGACCAGCCAATTCTGGCTTATGAGTGAAACAAAGGACATTTTTTAAAAAACATGCAAAAAACATGATTGAAAATGTTTAAAAACAAAATATATAAACATTTTGTAAATTTTATTTAATTAAACGCATTAGACTGCCGTAGACAAATTTAGCTACCCTATAACAGTGGTTGCCATCACTCATTAAAAAATTGAATTTGTCATTAGAGGTTAAATTTGCAAAGGATGGGTTGATTTGAACAATATAATCGTACAAGTGGGATCTGATATCATTGTATATTGGACATTCAGTGTAATTCAATTTCTATGCCGTTGAATTTGCACAGACTGCATTTTCCATCATCAGCCGGTATATTGTTATAGCGCCATATTTCAATGCAATCGGGGTGCAACCTGACCTAAAGAGGGCTAACGCTCGCCTATTACATTTTTTCATGAAAGTGGTTACTTAACTAGCTGTGCCATAAATGGATTTAAATGAACGATTAAAGTGCGCAGCTTATTGCGCGAATTTGGATTCTTTCTGCGATCACTAAAAATGGCTTCTTTCCAACAGTTTTCTACAAACAATTTAACTGCGCTATGAGCTTGACTTACCAAATTATGAGTATTTGTTGGTTCTGCATCATTTAGAATTTGTTCACAATCCATTTTGGAGAACAGCAATTTAACTTTACGACACCAGTTTATTACATTGTTATTCGCTAAAGGTTGGGACCAATGAAAGGCTTTACTTGGATACCGGTTTTCATCTAGTTTTGAAAAACGACTCCACAATCTAGTTATAGACTGCACCTGATGCACTATTAGAGGATCCCATCCCAAGTTACCAAGCATAGCGTCATTATTTAGAGTATATTTCCCAAACCAAAGGAAAAACGGCATGCACGGTAAAAAAAGTTATTTAAAAAACTTCTCATATATACCCCAAACACCACTACCATAATCCAAGATCGGGCTAACAAGAGACTCAAATAGTTTTGTTAATGAAATAAAGTTGATACCTCCCAGAGCCTTATCTTTACTAATAACAACACCAAGTGCACGAGATGCAGACGCAGCCAGATTGCTGGCAGGTACAGTACATAAGGATCTAAGAATTCATCAGACCAAATGCCGAGGTACCTATAACCATTAACAATTTCAATGTCAAAATTACAGCAATTAAACGGTTTATTAGTTTTTTGACGATTTTTCCTGCGAAAATGGACAATTTGTGTCTTAGTTTCATTTAGGCTAATGCGCCACCTTTTAGACCAGTTTGAAACAGCATCTAACATATTTTGAAGAAGAGAGCTTTCATTTTCGGCAAGTACCACAATGACATCAGCATACATTAATAATGTCCATTTTTATGTAATGTAAGGGAATGCCAGTTTAATTGCTTTATTCGTTTACTATGCAATTTATAAAAATATTAAAAAGTATGGGTGATAAGAATCAACTCTGTTTTACGCCTAATTTAACGTCAAACCAACTTGGCATATGATCATTCACCCTGATGGCACACTTAACATCATTATATAAACTTTTAATACAATTGTAGAAATTCCCATGTATACCAATACTTCGTAGTTTATACCAAAGGCAATTACACGATCAAATGCTTTCTTTGTATCAATAAAGCATGCGAAAGTATCTTTTTTTACAAAGATTTCTATTCTGTATAACCAAATCACATCACAATAAATTTTACATACTGCTGAAAAAAGTGTAATACCTCTGTAGCTCATCGGTATTCTTGGATCATTATTTCCAGATTTTGGGATTGGGTTAATTAAACCGAGCTTCCATCTAGATGGGCAGAGACCACAAGCAAAATAATTTTGAAACATGGCATGAACCAAATTTGCTAGTGTATCGTTTTTAAGGAGTTCTGTAATAATGCCATCAATACCAGCAGCCTTTTTAATTTAGCTCGGTTGATTGCATCAAATACCTCAGTATACTCAATAGGGTTATTTAAGGCAAGTAGCAATATATATGTTACAAAGATTTATAAATACAATACGAAATTGCTAGTTACCTGAATTTAGATATTTCTCAACATGAAAAAATGTTAAATAAGACTGAATTTTTTTCTTTATTTTTTCTGTGTGAAACACAAAAATTAAACGCAAATGAATTGTTTATGTTTGATTTTGCGATAGATCTGCGAAGAAATATAGTAGGCACCGGAAACATTAGCCTATCTAACACTGCTAGGGTAGGGCAAGCTTACCTCGATTTAGGTTCTATTATCAGACATAAAAACGGCCGACATGATATTTTCCGTTGCTAGTACTGACAATTGTGAGGTATAATATTTCATTGGAATTATTTCAAATAAAAAAAATGACCAAGATTTTGACAATTAAACAAACATATCTCAGGCCTACTCGATCGACTGCCGTGAGGAAGATGCGAAGTACAAAAACTTGAGAATATTCCAGCGGATGCGATCTACAACCTCTGAATTTGCTTAGTAATGAAGTCGTCGTCGAGAAAATAGTAATCTCCTATGAGAAATAGTCTCTATTTCTCATAAGTTGTTTTTGTCCTTTTGCGTAAAACTAAAAATTATGCCAATATTTTTCCATGGTTTATAAAAATTAGAATAATGCATATGCATTTTTAAAAAAAGAAGTCCTTTTTTTTTTAGTGAAATTTTGCCAGGAATGGGCTTTAATGTTAAAAGAACTGAAATGGCCCCACCTTGCATGTGGGAATTACCTTCTTTTAATAACACAGGCTAAAATAAGAAATATGATTATTAAAACGACTGCAGCAGCAATGACAATAACAATCAACATCGAAGACTGATTGCTTTTAAAAGTAGCAGGCCCGGTATCATTGATCGTTTCCGTCGTAATGACTACAGTGGGATGCGAATCTGGGTTAATGGTGATTTGACCACCACCTTGGTCTGTTGGTTTCGCAGCACGTGTTGGAATTTCACTTGGACTTGGTGTTGAGTAAGTCTCAAAACCTGTAAGAGGTAAAGCATTGTAAATGATGTTCAAACCAAAATACAAAAAATAAGGGAGTAAAACTGTATGATATTACTGAGACTTAAACACCAGTCCAGAATTTTGTAGTCATCTTAAAAATCCCACTCAAACAATAAAGAATTGTTTCATATTTAGTTAAAGCACAACCTAAGAGAATAGTAAAGTGCTTGTTGAGTTATATTAAACAGCCATGTATAATTGTTTTTAGTTTATGACAGAAATACATACGTGGATGCACCGATTATTCAAAGTTATCTGTTAAAAGTTAAATGGTACTCGTTTATTTAAGTGCAGTAAAGGCAAAATTTATAGCAATAAATCTCTCCTTGGTTTATTACGCAACAACGTATTACTTATGATGGTATTTATATTCTATCAATCAAATAATGAATAACAAATAATTACTAGGTCAATAAAGTGATCAGTCAATCCATTATTAATCACGCTATCAACAAACAAATCAATCAATCTGAATTAAATTTGTAGATCTATCTTATAAAAATCAAGGACTGTACCAATGCATTCTCGTATTGATGAAGATCCCACGTTATGTGTTTTAACATCATTTGGACACCGTGTGCAGAACCGGCTGTTGTACCGTGTCTGGTACGTGCCAAGAGAGCATCTGTTACAAGGTTGAAGTCCAATGTACGAATAGTTCCCAGGTCTACAAGTTGCTAATGACAACAATATCATAATTATTATAAAATCAATTCACATTCTATTTAGAGGATTCTACAACCTTTAGATTCCATATTAATAGTGTTCCACACACTATATTCATTGGATTTTATAAAAATGCATTACAAATTAGAAATTCATAGTATTCAGAGACGATAATTCACTGAAGATGTGTAAAATATTAACCTAATTTAGAACACAAGTTAATAACACGTATAGTCTCGAGCTCCTGACAGCATAGTCGTATAGAGAGGAGTGAATGCAGTCCTCCCTGGTATGCCGATATGAACGTTTATAGATCAGAAACCTATCATTCAAATACAATATGAAGATGATATGGTTATTATTTGTTTTTACATAACGCAAGACTACTTAACAATCGGAATTATGGTAGGCCCAAGAGAAATGCCTGCGTCCGACGCAAATGGAAAGTTTCCTAGCATTTTGTAGGTCACAAACCACTGACACTCCCATTATTTGTCGGAGTATACTCAAACAGCAAAGATAACAAGACAGAGTTCTCTGCGATTTCTGCATGCAAATTCTGTAGTAACGCAGTGTAGGGCGCCCTCCCACAAAAGTGATTACCTTTACTCAACTTTGACATCAAAGATCGTTAACTAAAGATAGCGTATCTTGCAATCTTATTATTAAAAGACCTTTGACGAAGGGTCGAAAGTAGATGGCGCTACAACATAGATACCACTTCTTAGGTCCTGATTGTTGCGTTAGTTTTAAGTTGTTGGAGCGCAGCTCTTTCAGATTCGTTAGCTGTTGTTGCTAGAAATCACCAAGAACGATGTGTTGATGTTGATGTTCTGATTATTTTTCGATAGGTTAGGAACAACTGTACTGAAGCTTCAATTAAGGGAGTGAGCCACATATTGGTAAGCAAGGTTCACTCCTTCCCGAGTTGGTATAAATTGGACTATATAAAAAAAAACTATACCATATTTATTTGCGATCCACATGAATGTATTTTACTGATTGTGCATATTTTATTATTTTTAAAAATTAAGTTCTTACGAACATTTGCAAGGCTTTAAATTTGGAGTTAGTGGGTATAACACGAAAATACTTCGTACACAGACAGGTTAGGATAACCATACGCATGTACTAAAAAATCTCAGGTTCTGTGTATTTTGTGTTATAGCAGGGAGAAGTGATTAAAAAAATGTTGATGAAATAGATTACCTTGACAATGGTGTGGGCTGAAAGCATTAGAACCAGCTGTACTTGTCCCTGTAGGGCAGGTAACACATGAGAACTGACCCTCTTGGTTTTGATATGTTCCGACACTGCAGGGTAGGCACTTCTGTGAGAATGTATCATAAAATGTGCCTGGTGGACAACGTACTGAGAAGGAAGATATACAATATTTCATTTTACCAAACATGTGGTAATATTGTCTTATAATATAAAAACAATTTCAAATTAAGTTCGTTAAAATACAATAATCTGAAAATTTTACTCTTATATACTCTACTCTTCTACACATCT